CCAACAACGAAAACAAAGAAGTAATAAAAACTAGCATCGTAAATAGTGACAAAGAAGAATATGATGCTATCGATGAAGAAAAGGAGACCAAAGAAGATGACCAGCCAATTAAGAAACCTGACACCTAATTCGCATCAAAGTTCAATTTTACAACACCAAAGTTAATTTTTACAACGTCAAAGTTAATCTTGACAAAGTCAATATTTCCCTATATATACAGCAAGGAGCACTGACGATGATTCATTCGGAATCGAAATATGGCCTTATTTGCAGCAAGAATTCGAAAAATAAGTTTATTTTGAATTTTAATAAACTAAACGTTCACCAAAAAACTTTAGTGAGAAAAATCGAAAAAACGAACTACAAACATATTAACGCCAAACATTCGGTAGAATTTATAGAATATTGTAAAAATTATGGTCTATTACCAACATATATATATATATATAAATATATATATATATATATATTTTCATAGATTCATCATTTTTCTTCAATAAATAAAGAAAAAGCATAAGTATTTCAGTATTTTATTATTATAAAAAGAAGAGTTACACAAATGTAAAATAACAAAATAACAATATTGTTATTAGTGGTAATAATAATAATAATAACAATAATAATAATAATAACAGTTATAATAATAACCATAATAGATATTATTAATTTATACCAAAAACAATTAAAAGAACAATTGCAATTTTGCTGTAAGCATAATTGATATAAAAATTCGTGATTAAAACACGCACTTACATATTAGTATCTCTTTTATAGCAAATAATGTCATAAAGAATGGTGATGGCAACAATAGAAGTAGTAGTAGTATTAGTTGTGGTTGTTGTAATAATAATAGCAGCAGCAGCAGCAGCAGTAGTAGTAGTAGTAGTGGTGGCAGTAAAATAATAGTAGTAGCAGCAGTAGCAGCAACATTAGAAAAAAGGCGAGAAATAACATTAGAAATAACCCGAGACCATCAGACCGCCCAAGCAGCAATGGGCAGTAGTAGCAGCGGCAGTAATCCGTATGACAACTAATTTTTGTAGCTGCATAAGTAGCCGCGGTAGTAGTGTAACAGTAGAAGTAATAATGTCAGTATTACCGACAGTAATATATCTTTAGTCATAGCAGTAGTAATGGTAGTAGCAGCAGTGGCTGTGGTGGAAGTAGTAGTAGTAATAACAGTATTGGTAATAGTACTAACTAAGCATAAAATTCATGTACTGGAACTTATTTAAAACATAATAACGAAGAATTTAGTAGCACTAAATAAGATCCAATCAAACAAAGCTTAATTTTCCGTTATTACAATAGCAATAAATAATTAAATAATAACAAAAATAATAATAATAACAACAAAAACAATAAAGCCAAAAGAGATAACCGAAAGTAAAATAACAAAAAACAATCCAGAGAACGAAAGATAAAAAAGTTTATGTACATATACATATAAGTATACATACATATGTATATATATGTATATATATATGTATGAGGCAATAATTATTTTCATTATTAAACTACAGAATAATAAAAAATTACAATAAAATATGTATACCTGAGGTTAAAATGCACATAAGTATACAAATATATATATGATTTATAGAATACTGTTTACATACATACGTATACATACATAAATATGTATGTATTGTATGTATATATATATATATATATATATATAATAAATTATTAATGAAAATCACTGCATGTTTCGCGTTGGTTAGCTTCCTGTTTGATATTTGATTTTTCTAGCACCAGATTGTAAAGTTTCTTTTAATTTATTTTAAGCATGATAGAACAGAAAAGCTTCTTTCGGCATTCCCATACCATCGTCGGTGTTCGAATTGATACGTTTTGTATGTGGCTAGGTGCTCAGGTCTATACATATACTGTGAACGTACGAGCCCAAGGTTAAAAACAAGTCATAAAAACTATCATTTTGCCTCTGCTCGCTTGTTAATAATATGTAACTATGTAAACACAGCGTATATAAACAGAAGACGGTATAGGAATACTGAAAAATGCTTTTTTGTTCTATCGCGGTTAAATGAAATGAAAATCATGGCTTTGAACTCAAGAGACCTGACGATGATTTACTTACTATCCACCGTTAGGAAATTAAGCAGGAAGCTAACTAACGAGGAACATGCTGTGATTTTCACCAATTATACATATATATATATATATATATATATATATATATATATATATATAAATATATATATATATATTGTTATATATTTGCATGTTAATAT